CGAGAGACATTTTTCTACACAAAAAATAAAAGCTCTCAAAAGGAGTGGAAAAAATAAGTTAGAATCAGAAATTTGATTAAATAATGCATCATCTACTCCCTTTCCAGCTTACTGCATCCAATTCATTACATTGAGAAGAAGTAAAACGACCCCTCTAAAATGGAACATTTTCAAGATTTGGAGAGTTCATATAGGTATTTTTTATTCTCCATAGCTGGGCCCAAATTTCTGAGGAGGCCAATGCAATCACAATAAAACTTCAGATGTTCCTTTGTATTTATACATCTTGTAGAGAATAAATGGGTGTGATATATGGATCTGACTTAAAGAACAAATTAAAATCATGTGTCTGATGCCCCTGATGTCATGGGAGCTAGCTAAAAATAATAATTGCTTTTCTTGAGCTTTTGCTACTAATTGGGCATTACCCCTGTAAGCTTTACATTTGTCTCATTTAATTGCACAATAGTCATTCAATAAATTATTATTTTTTCCATTTTATGGTGAAATGGTGTCTTAAAAGAATTAAGTCATTTCCCCAAGTCATATGGTCAGTGGTAGGCAAGGACTGATTCTAACCCATCTGTGAACATATATTGGTAGGAGGTCGTACTAGTTCTCACACAAGTATCAGTAGGTCTGCATAGCAGATCACAGCCCTGTGTTGAAAAAAAGGAATGCTCTGATTCCGTAGCAAGGATATCACATTAGTGAAAAAATAAATTGTTATTATGATCATCACATTGTTTCCACTTCAGCAAGTCTTAAAAAAAATCATTTTCATAATTTCTTATAGTTTATTCAGTGTGATGTTTTGGGGGTAAATAAAAGTCCACATTTCACTTATCTCTGCTGTCACATAACATAATACAACACTGAGTACATGGTTAGTGCCTATTTAATGATTGTTGAATGAACAGTGTATGTGTACCACTAGCTTTCTCAACCAGGGCTTGTCATCAGAACCACAGAACACAAAAATATTTTGAGTGCTTATTTACTTAATTCTACCAAGTATCTTCATAGCAAATACCACTCAAGACCCATAGGTGAGAAGTTAATTCATTATGTATAATGGGTGCCTTAGGACATTAAGGCTTAATTCTCTCTTGGAACCCCATAGAGAACCATACCTGGATTGACCCATGGTCTTTGAGTACTATCTCTTGACCTTAGTCAGGGGTGGCAGTCTATAGCTTGGGACAAATGTGATTCATAACCTATTTGTATAAGGTCTCTGAACTAAGAACGCTTTTACATTTTCAAAGGTTTATTAAAAATAGAATATGCAACAGACTACATGTGGCCTGCAATGCCTAAAATATTTACTATATGACTCATTCCAGAACAATTGTGACCTTTGCTTTAGTGGAGCAGGATGAACTTACCTGATAATATTTAAGAAGGCCTCTGTGATCCATGGTTCCTAAACTCTTCCCTACCAATCTGTCTTCAGATATGAAATTTTTATCTGTTTTCATTTGTACATGGGCATCAAAACAACAGTCTTGCTCCATTTATTCCCCATCAAAGGCCTCTATTAAAATGCACATGCTATCCACAACAGGTAATAGAAGGTGATGGCTTGGACTTAGAGTGACATGAGTGACAATTTCAGCTTTTATTAGCTGCTGCTTATTAGATGAGAAAGGTGAGTATATCAGAGTTCATTTCCTCCTTCACCAGCCATATGTACAGCAAACCTCTATTGATAATGCTTCTCAGTATACAGCATCTATATTGGTTATCTATTGCTATGTAACAAATGACCCCAAAAATGTATTGATTTCAACAAATAATACCTATTGTCTCATAATTTTGTGACTTAGAAATCTAGGCATGGCTTAGCTGAAGTCTCCAGCTCAAGGTCTCTCACAGTATATAATCAAGATGTCAGCGGAATGTACAGTTCAACTGGAATAGGATCTGATTTCAAGTGCATTCACTTGTTGTTGGCAGGATTCGGGTTCTGGAAACTGTTGGTTAGTGGCTGTCATTAGTTCCCTGCCACAGGCCTTTCCCTGGAGCAGCTCACAATAGGCTGCTGGTTTCATCAAATTGAACAAGTAAGAGAAAGCAAGAGAATTCCAGCAAGATAGAGGTTACAGTATTTGATGTTACAGAAATGATGTTTCAGAGAAAATACTATAGCAATAAAAATATATTTAACACTTTGCCCTTAACCAAGTGTTTTCACATGCTTTATCTTACTTGATTCTCATAAGCCCTGTGAGGACAGTATTAAGGTATATCTAGACTCATATTTGTAAAATGAGAAAACTAAGAAACAGAAAAGTTAAATGCCTTCCCCGGGATTGCACGTTAAATCAGTGTATCAGTAAAGGAGCTCTGAAAAGGTGTGGAAGGGGTCAGAGTGTATGATGGTGTCGGGCCCAACAACATGCTGAAAGCAGAGGTATAGGTGAGGCAGGGGAGCACATGGTCAGGAATCCAGAGGGTCCCACACTCCAAAGGACAGGGCAAACCAATGAGTCAGCAGCCAGGAAACCAGTGGCTGTCAGTCCTTGCCCAGACCAGAGCTCAGAGCAAATTTGTAAGAGGAAAAGATGCAGGCAGAAAATGTTTAAATGCAGATGAACAAGGCAAGGGAAGGTCAGTAGGCAAGATGGTCAGGGACATAAAAGAAACAAAGGGGATTTCCAAAAGACAGATCAAGTGAAACTTTGAGAGCCAAGAGGTGCTTAGGAGGGAGCTGGAATGGAGCGTGAGCTTGCATAGGGGGCAGGCACTGGTGTGTAGAGAGGGGCTTTCAAAGTGTGATTGGTTCAGCAGGGTACAGTATTCAGCCTGAGGAGCTAAGGAGCTAAGGAGCCGTAAACTTTCCTGATGGTTCTCTAGTTCTGGAGCTGACTAATTTTCAGTAGGGGACTGATCTGATCATATTTGTATTTTAGCAACATCCCTTGGAGTGAGAGAAAGAATAGAAAATCAGAGAAAGATTTCAAACAAAATAATTTATTCCCAGAGAAGTTTCTGAGAAAAGACTGTACCTAATCAAAACAATCTAATTTTATGCACATTTTCTCTCTGTATGCTTTATACCTCGCTCCATTTTTAACCATTTGTAAGTGATTCTCATTAAAGACACATCTAGATTAGACTGGAAACTACTTTAATTGACACCCTGGATTATGAATCCCCTTCAGAATGTGAGACTCTGTGATTAACTTCACGTTATTCACTAATTTCTGAAAGACACACTGGGCTGGGTTTTGACTGCCACTGCATTTTTTGTGGTGTAGAGGTGGGTTTACATCCCACTTCAGAAATGATAACTGAAAATTTGTTTGTTTTTAAAGAAATAATGAACAATAGAAAAAAATTTTACCATTTGTTAGTGGCATCTGCCAGTCTGCTTGGCAGTGCATGACAATAAATATCTTTCTTGCTTTCAGAACATGACAAATTTAAATGTGACTATTTTAAAATTCACTTGGAGGGGAATGAGGTACATATCACACACATTGCAAGTACAATCAAGCATAAGATATTTGCACCTGACTTTTTTACGCAGCCTCTTCAGACTTCTTTAGTAGCAAGAAAGGAAAGGGATGAAAATGGCACTCAGCAGCCAGCTGACGTTCTCAGAGTTGAGTATGTGATTCCATGGCTTTAGGGAAAGGGGTGGTTATTTTAGTGTGTGTGTAGGGAGGAAGAGTGGCATGGTATTTAGAAAACAAAAATATTACCATGAATCCATGACGTATGCCACTGATGACCCCCAATATTTTCCCCCAAATATACTTTTAATTTCCAGAACTATCAACGATTGAAGGCTGATGCTGTGTGGTAATTATTAGTGCTGTTCACCAAAAATGTTTGGTTCTCTTCCCAAGCACAGAAGAGGACAGTCGTTTCCTGTCCCCTACAAATTAAAAGCACCAAGGTTACTCATTTTGGTCAATTAACTATTAAAATGAAGTGATTTGTTACATATATAGGGAGAGGTTTCAAGTGACAATGGCTCTCTTATTCCTCTGGAAAAGCAAGTGGGAATGTTCAAGGTGGTGGGCGCTCTATCAATCTGGGTCCCTGAGTCATGACCAGAGGCCCATTGTAGACTTGGTGGACATGTAGCATAAGCAAGAAATGAATGTGCATTTTTATTACCATAAAACTAGCCTATCTTGAATAATAACAAAACTGGTACTTACACATGGAGTGCTACCATAACAAGTAAACCTAAAATATATGTCCATGGTTAAGTCCTGGGCAGTGGACAGTGAACAAACTACCATTAGAGACTAGAATTCTTTTTAGTTGAAGAATTTGGGTCTCATCATGCAATATTCCCACCACCCAGGAGCCATCACTTGTGCCTTGTAAATTCTTATAGATTCTATGAATCAGCAATTATCTTTTTGATGGCTAGTCATAGACATTAGTGCTGATCTGGTTCTCTCTGCACTTCTCTTCCCAATTGAATTTAGACAGCAACATAACTTGCTGTGACTAATAAAATGTGAGCAAGATGATATGTGTCACTTCAGGGTGAAATCCTGAAGAACTAGTATGTTATTCATTGCACTCTTTCTTTTCCTTTCCAAGTTCAAGATGGTGGCTCCTCCCTCTGATTTGGTCTCTGAGACCTTACAATAAGCAGAAGTAATGAATGTGTGTCATGAGCAAGAAATAAATTTCAATCATTTTTAACTCACTGAGAGATTTAGGAACTGCCTGGTTTTACCCCACTCTAACCCAGTCAATCCTGACTGATAGGTGTAGACTGTGAATTAACAGCTGCTATTTAGGCTATGAAATATAGTAAGTGCTAAGGTGGAAACAATAACTTTAGAATCCTTAATATCAATATCCCTATTGTCATTCTGTAGGGCCATGTTAATTTTGAAACAGATGGAATCTAATTCAATTATCTCTATGCTTCATTACCCCCACACCCAATGAAAAATGGCTCTGTCCTAGGCTTTCTCAGAACTTCAGCTTAGTGGTTGCCTATAATCTGAATTAACTGTATAATAATGGCTAATAACAAGTGTTTGCGTCTCCTTTCAACAGGATTCAGCAAGATCCTCCATTGTATCAGCACATTTTTAGGCCTCAGGTATATCCTTACAGTGACTGTGACAGATAAGGCTCCTGTTTTCATGAAAGAGGGAGGGAAGGTAGAAGGAAGGAAGGAAGGAAGGAAGGAAGGAAGGAAGGAAGGAAGGAAGGAAGGAAGGAAGGAAGGGAAGAAGGAAAACTGGCTGAACTTTCTAACTTTGGCAATGAAAAGAGGATCTCTTCATGGCATGAGGTGACCTGACCTGGAAGCTTCAATCTTCCCACTAGCTCACCCTCCCCTTGGTGACCTCTTACCCTTTGACCCAAAGAATGAGAAGGTAGGGGAAATTCCTATTTTCCTTTAATGTTAAATCCAAACTGTTAAAAAATGATAATATAAGAAATTTAGGTGAGAGGAGCAAACTTTATTCAACATTTCATGAAGTAGACAGTCTCCTTCACAGAGCTGCAAAATGGGGTAGAAGGCAGGAAGCTCTTATAGGAGAAAAAATAAAGAACAAGGAGGAGAAAAATAGAAAATATCTAATTGTCTGCGACCACATAGTCAACCTTGTTTGGAGTGAGAAGCCCCAAACAAGGGGCTTGTTTGATTGGCATTTGGGGGATTGGCTGACTGGATATACCGTGTTTCTGGTCAAGCAGAGTATTTACAGCGTCATGAAAGTTATCTAAGTTTCCAGTAGAAGCAACAACATCTTGGGCCTAGAAAATTATCACCACAAACAGCCACATGAGCCTTCCCTTAGTATCCTGGGGACATCTCTTGGACAGAGTAAATGTTTAAACATGACTTTACTAATGGAAATAGGTGGAGGGTATAGCATGAAACTCGATTTTCCAGTTTAACAAGACATATTTCTCCTCCACAGCTTGTTGTCCACCACAGGGATTCCTTTTAAATTTCTAGTCTGTCCCCAGGAGGCCAGGATGGTGGGGATAGTGGGAGTCACTATTATCTTACCACACCGCTACCCAAATACCAACCCCAACACCTTATCTACTCCATCTAGTCTGGTACCAAACCTCCCTCTTTTTCTTGTGCAAGGTCTTCTCTTTCCTATATATTGGTGCTGGGGAGGATGCCCTCCTATCCAGAGGACTGTATTATCTGCCAAGTTAAGTTTCAAAGAGTCATACACAGGCTATGCTTATACATGTGCTCTGGCAGGAAGGGGTGGGGTCCTTTCCTACTTTAGCCTTTTGGCATCTCAATCAGTCTATGTTAAAGGCTTTCTCTCTATAGGCACTTACTCTAGTGGTTAAGAGCTCAGATTCTGGAAGAGACTTCTAGTTTTCAAATTTTAGCCCTGCTGCTTCCTAAATGAGTGTACTTAAACATTTCCTTAACCCTTGAGTCTCTGTTCTTCATGTGAAAATCAAGGACAATAGCGGTATCAGTATGATAGTGCTGTTGTGAGGATTAACTGAGATAATATGTATAAAATGTTTATCCTGTTGACTGGTACTTATTAAATTCTCAATATATATTAGCTATCTCTATTATTATTGTTGTTGTTATCATTACTATCATCCTAGTTCTTTTTAAAAACCAAAGCATACCACAGTGTTTACAAATTTTTTTGTTGTTGTTAATCTTCACCCGAGGATATTTTTTCCCATTGATTTTTAAAGAGTGGAGGGGTGGGGAGAAAGAGAGAGAGAAGGAGAAACATCAGTGTGAGAGAGACCCATTGATTGGTTGCCTCCCACACTTACCTAGACAGGAGTGCACAGGTGGTGGGTGTGATATGGATTAAACCTGCAACCCAGGTAGGTACATGCCCTTGACCAGGAATCGAACCTGTGACCCTTTGGTGCACAGGCCAACACTCTAACCAGTGACCCATGCTGGACAGGGCAGTGTTTACAATTTTTTTATAGCACCAACCCAGAAATAAAGTGCTTTAGAACATTTCTGGGAATTATGCATACATGAAGTAAATAAGTGGCCTGAATCTCCCAGCAAACAAATGCGAAGCTAATAGGGCTTTGTTGTATTTTTTGATTGGCAATGGCTCTGAACTATCTCCTTTCTCTGTCAATTTAAAATAGCTAGCTTTCTTTCTTTCTTTTTTTCAAAAATATTTTTATTGATTTCAGAGAGTAAGGGTGAGGGAGAGAGAGATAGAAACATCAATGATGAGAGATAATCATTGACCGGCTGCCTCCTGCACTCCCCTACTGGGGATCGAGCCTGCAACCCTGGCATGTGCTCTTGACCGGAATCAAACCTGGGACCTTTCAGTCCACAGGCAGACACTCTATCCACTGAGCCAAACCAGCTAGGGCTTAGCTTTCTTATATACTAAAAATAAAAATTAAATCCAGGATTTCTATAACAACGCATATTTTTGACTTTTTAAAAAATGAGACTTATTTGACATACAGCATTGAGTCTATTTAAGGTGTACAAATATTGCTTTGGTACATTTATAGTGTTGCCATCGTAGCATTAGCTCTACCATATCACATAATTATTATTTCCTCCAGTGTTAGGAACACTTAAGATCTAGTCTCTTAGTAGGTTTAATGTTTATAATACAGTTTTGTTGTCTATAATCACTAGACTGTGTATTAAGTCACTAGGAGTTCGTTATCTACTAGTTGCAATGTGTACCCTTAAACAACAGTTCTCCCATCCCCCACCCCTCTTAGCCCCTGGTAACCACCATTTTACTCTGTGAAGCATTTTACATGTTTAAGGTACCACTGATATTAATTCTATTTTTATTGGTATAAAATTTTTCAAATGTTCAGCTAATGCTACGCCTTCAGTTTTATTATAACTAAGAGTTGTCTTTTCACAGTTCTTACAATGAAATGAGTGCTTTTCTGTTATAAGTTCACTATTGGGTAGGTGTTTGCAGATTGCTGTTAATAATAGAGCAGTGTTGTTCTGAACCTATGATTCATGAACAAGGCAGAAGATGAACCATAAATCCTGGTGCTGGGAGACAGAATATTCAATCAGATGGACCCCAGACTTCTGATATTGGTGATCTTCTGGGTTCTAATCATTATTTTCAGCATTAGAGAGAATTAAACTTAGTTGGCTTTCTACAGTGAATAAAGAGGTAGTTTACACAAGATCTTTCTATTTGGATTAAAAAGAAATATACATAAGACAAAGAAACCACCATATAGTTAAGATCCACTTGAGCAAAAATAGCCACTTCTGAATTCAGCTGTACTTGCAATAAGGCCTCGTCGTTCTAAAGGATCCCTTTAGTTTATTATTTTTTCTTCTTAAAAGACAATATCCAAATCAAACCAAACCAAAACAAAACAAAACATAAAAGAAGAGACAAGTTATATAATCTACAGACTAAAAAGACTAACCATTTTTATTTCTTATTGCAATTTGAAATGGAAAGGAACACTCCGTCCTAGAACAGGGTAATTCATCTCCCGTTCCTTTGTCTGCAGCTACAAGTAGGAGATAGTTTAGAACCATTGCCAATCAGAAAATACAACAAAGCCCTACTAGCTTCTCATTTGTTTACTGGCAGATCAGAGGCCACTTCCTGCGCATCTCAGACATCCTGTTAGCTCTCAGAGGCTCCATCCCGGCATACCTAAAGTACTTCACTAAAGAAAGGGCGTCTGAAAAGGCTCCTCTTTTTGTCCTGTGAATATGTCATAGTTGATTTGAGTTTTTTAAATATTTTCCACCCTTGTTTGTTTCTTAATGCAGCACCAAGATGCAATTTTTCTGAAAGCCAAACTGGAGACATGCTGAATACGTGAATACTGAGGAAGTGGTTTCCTTAGCAATAACAGGCATGTGAAAGTCAAAACTTCCTTTCCTTCTCATGTGACCTTTTTTCAAAGCAATTCAGATAAAGGACAATGGAATTGAATTCCAAGCACCCACAGTGTTCATGAATTGCTAAGCAATGATTCACCAAGCACCCAAATTACTCTAGACTGCTTGAGCATTTCATTAATGAAATTGCTTTGTATTTAAATTTTCCTTCCTCACTTTGTACTTCAGTTTGCCTCATGCCTACAGGCCACTTTCCCACCACTTAAAGAAAATGTAGATATACATTAGAGCAGTTCTAAATAGTGATTAGCATAGGACTTTAGAATGTCAGAAGTTAGAAGGTTACATACAATATTCATAACTATTTGCTACCTTTGGATACATTGGATACTAGAAACTTATGGAAAGGTTTGTTTGGTAATTGAAGTCTATTATTTACTCAGAATAGGTGATATAATTTAATTTTTGACAACTCCTTAGATATTTTAGAATCACTGAAGCTTTCACTCATTCCAATTATAGATTTATCTTGATCCACTCACTCATTCTAAAAAAGAAATAATAAGGTGTTATATTTGGCTTACAAATTGCATGTTCTGGTTAGTCCTCAAAGGTTAAATGGTAGTAAGTTATTAAAAACCATATATTAACAGGCTGGGACTTTAAGGTGCCATGCTGTTTTGCCTTTAATTAAATTGCCGTGTTCTTGAGGAATATAGACAAGGCCATCCTGGGAACTCTTTATTCCTCTTTATAGCCTCTGAATTGTGAATCTCAAAATAACTAACATTACTCAATGTCTTAGGATCATAATTTTGTGAAGTGACTGCAGTGAATGTTGCCAGACAGACCCAGGACCCAGGGAGTTGGGTGACCTTTGCTCTGTGATCCTTGTGTGTCACAGGGCTAATATGACTCATACTGGGTTACTCTACTCATAACGTGTGTAAAGAGAGGACCTAGCAGAGTAAATGTTGCATAGTAGTTGCTCAATAAATATTAGTTTTGCTTCTTTCTCCTGCATGTCCTCTCCATTCTGACGTTGTATATTCAATTTAGTCTGATCTGCTCCTAGTTTAATGGCTCTCCTGGACTCAGAAGTGGTCTGAGATAAAACCGTCATGTTCAAATGGGCCCCAGCCATTATCTTTCCTGATAGTAAACAAGGGATGAACCCTAATAAAAGTGGAAGGATCTCCAGTGAATTCACTCTCTGGCCACTTTCTAGAGTACTTGTGAAATTGTTTAACAAACAGTCTGAGCTGCCCCAG